GTGCTACCACAATGAGCGATGAATGAGACACGGAGGGCCACTTCAGGCCACGTATAGCCCCGGCCGCGAGTATGTTCCTCGACCTTGACCTCAGGAATGGCCTGAATGCCAGACCCCCTCCTGAACCCAAGGTGGTTCTTGCCTGAGCCAAATCTGGGCCCAAATCACTGGGTGGGAATGCGTGTATGACTATTCTCGATGGGCCTGCGTGCAGACATCCAGTACCGTGCCGTTGGAGCCGAATGGAAAATCATCGACTCGTCAAATTCGTCGGTCGCTCTGAATCCTGTACATGCCCCAGGCCTCAGATATCTGGGCGCCCCTAAGCGATTTTGAAATTCGCCATGTGACATGTCCGGGGATGCCATCTTGGAGGTGACAGACCCAAACATATGCAGCTGTGAGTACCGCGTTCGGTGGAGCTCCTGATGTGGCCACAAGCGCTTCAAACATGTGCTTTACTGTCTGGGGGAGACGCATGCAGTCACGGCCACTGGGATCTTCAGTGGGGTTCCATATGGAGCCACGACGCGCTGTACTTGGTCGGGGAGACGCATGCGGTCACGGCCACTGGGATCTTCAGTGGAGCTTCGCATGGGGCCACGAAGCGCTGCACTGGGTGGGGTAGACGCATGCGGCCGCGGCCACTGGGGCCTTCGGTGGTGTTTCGTCTGGGGCCACGAAGCGCTGTGCTGGGTGGGGGAGACGCATGCGAACGTCGCCTCTGGGGCCTTCGGTGGAGCTCACTGTGGCCACGAAGCGCTGATATGGGTGGGGGAAAAGCATGCGAACGTCGCCTATGCGGCCTTCGGTGGAGCTCCCTTTTGGGTCACGAAGCGCTATGCTGGGTGGCGGGGGGGCGTATGCGAACGTCGCCTCTGGGGCCTTCGGTGGAGCTCTGTATGAAGCCACGAAGCGCTGTACTGGGTAGCGAAAACGCATGCGAACGTCGCCTTTGGGGCCTTCGGTGGAGGAGATCTCGATGGGGCCCATGGGGCCGCGAAGCGCTGTGCAAGGTGGCAGGAAACGCATGCGAACGTCGCCTCTGGGGCGTCGGTGGGGCTCCCTATAGGGCCACTGAACGCGTGATGGGGTGTGCCGAAACTGCTGACATGCGGAGGGCAGAAGCAAGCATGTGAGGAACGAAGAGGAGAGGAGAGGAGAGGAGAGGAGGAAGGAGACGAGGTGCGCTGTCTCTTCAAGACGAGGACCCAACACCACAAAATGGTTGGGAACATCAAATTTTCAATCACCATGCTCCCGTGCTTTCGGTCCCACGAACGCCTCAAACAGCGCAAGAGGTCCCCATGCCGCCGCAAGAGGCCCTCACGAGGAGTCCGACAAAATCCCAAGGCAGCCCAAGAGGAACCCCTCAAAACGCGCCACTATCAGGCCGCTTGATGCCTCTCGTGCCCACGACTGCTTACTGGCCCCGTGAGAGCCCCAGGAGGCATCCGAGTCCATGCGAGGCCCGCAAGACGCCCCCCAAGTGCTCCCATGAGGCTCCCCAATCTGTTCCAAGAGGCGTCCCATAGACTTCTAGTCCACAGCCCACGCACAACGGCGGCTTGGGCCAAAAGCCTCTAGGTAAGAACACTACACGTGCATACATTATCCAAGCCCCTGAGGGCTTGTTTATTGCATTCAAAGAAAATGGCCCTGTGTTGCGGGGATGGCCTTGGATTGTTGGCCTCCATTGCCTCCTATGGCTTGGCCACCGGTAAATTCACTGTTGCTCCCCTATGGCGTCCCATCCCATTGGCTCTAAGTCGTGGGTTCGAGCCTTGGGCGCTTGGCCTCCTATGGCCTCATATGGCTCCACGCAGGAACCTCCACGCACATGCTTGCATCCATCAACTTGTTCGGGTCCACGTGCTGCCATCATCTACAGAACTATAACCAGTCTCAGTAGTTGGAGGCGCCGCTGGGTCGTCTGATGTGTCCATTGGAAGCCAGGCCTTCGTCGCAACAGCCAGTGCTGGCCGGGAACGCAGTCGGAGCTGCAACCCGAGCAACGTGTCTATCAAATGCGCCATCGGGGGAGAATAGCGAGCTTACCCCCGAGAGACGCCCCGACTTCACCTCACGGGCCATTCGCGCCGCCCAACAGCTCGAACAGCTCGGCCGCCCGCGCCAGCCTCAGAACAGCTCGAACGGCTTCGACAGAGGACACGTGGTCTCTGAAGCGCCGCCCAAACATTCCACCAGCTCGGCCACTCCGCTCGACCGCTCCGCCTCGGCTTCGGTACCAGGCGCAGACGCCAGGGGGAAGGCTCGCCATCGCTCGGGCGTCCCTTCCCCGTGCAGTTTTTCGGTTCCGTGCGTGTTTTTGTGTTTCTTGTTCGCCGATCTAAAGGTGCTCCTCGATGGTCCTCGCCGAGAAAAAATGCACACGCCCGAGTGATGCCAAGGAGGAGGGGCATCCCGCGAGACCCCGAGCAAGAGGGCGCCCGCCCCCGGGGCACCAGTCGCACTGCTCGCCGTTGCTCCCGCGCTCCTGGCGAGGGAGGCCGCTCCTCCTAACGGCGTGCGGAGGGGGTATGTAGGGGGAGGGGGGGAGGTTTCCTAGAAGCACCCCTGCTTCGGAGAGGGCGCGGGCCTTCTCTGCAGATGCAGGGCCGTCGCCTTCCAAGAAGCAGTCTCCTTCCAAGAAGCCTTCCCCCTCCCCCTACCCCCTTTTTGCGCGCCGCCATTCCTCCCTGTTCGCATATTTTCCGAATTGCTTTCTGTCTCCTCGGCCTCCGTCCCCTTCGCCGATGAATAACTCCTCCCTGTCGCACCACCAGGCGTGTCGTTGGGGCGGGCCAGGCGTCTCGCCTGAGACTTCCTCATCGTCAGCGATCCTGAAGCTTCATGATCCCCACTGCTATTTGCGCTCATGGAGAGCGAGTCGTTTTCATAATGGGGCTCTCGCCTGGGCGCCTCGCGCATTCGTTTCAAGATACTAGACACACATCCGGATGAAGGGCGAATGCTTTCAAAACGGGTATTTCACCCTAGCGCCACGGGCGTTCGTCTTAAGCGGTTACCTAGGCAAAAGACCCAACCAGATGCAATTGTGAATGAAGCGTTGTGGTTAGGAGCTCCCTATGGGGCAGCGATGCGCGTGAGGGGAGTGCCGTACTGGTGGTGGTGGGGAGCGCATGCGATTTGAGCCATTGGGGTCTTAGGTGGAACTCCCTATGGGGCCGCGAAGCGTGTGAGGGGTGCGCCGGAGTGGGCGCAGGGTCCGCATGTGAACATCGCCAATGACGCCTTGGGTGCACGCGGCCACGGCCACTGGAGCCTTCAGTGGAGCTCCGTACTGGGCCTCGAGGCGCTGTACTGGGCAGGGAGAAACATGCGGCCGCGGCCACTGGGGCCTTCGGTGGGGCTCCCTAAGGGGGCCACGAAACGCTGTGTTGGATGGGGAGACGCATGCGGCCGCGGCCTCTGGGCCTTACGTGGAGCTCCGTATACGGCCACGAGGCGCTGTACTGGGTGAGGGAGACGCACGTGGACCCTCCCACTGGGACCTTCGGTGGAGCTCTTCATGGGGCCACGAAACGTGTGATGGGGTGTGCCAGCATAGTGCGGGAGACTCATGTGGACCCTCCCACTGATGCCTTTGGTGGAGCTCCCTATTGGGGCACGAAGCGTGTGAGGGGTGTGCCTAAATGGGGCGGGGAGACACATCTGGACCCTCCCACTGGGCACTTCGGTGGCGCTCCCTATCGGGCAACCAAACGTGTGAGGGGTGTGCCGAACTGGGGCGGCGAGACGCATGTGGACCCTCCCGTTGGGGCCTTCGGTGGAGCTCGTTATGGTGGCACGAAACGCATCAAAGTGCCAGCATGGGGCGGGAAGACGCATGTGGACCCTCCCACTGGTGCCTTCGGTGGAGCTCCCTATGCCGCCACGAAACGTGTGAGAGGTGCGCGGAAATGGACGGGGAGACGCACAGTCGCCACTGCGGCCTCCAGTGGAGGCTCTCTTGGGTCACGAAGCGTGTGAGGGGCGTGCCTAAATGGGGCGGGGAGACGAATGTGGAAACTCCCACGGAGAACTTCGGTGGAGCTCCCTATGGGGCCACGAAGCGTGTGAAGGGTGTGCCGAAATGGGGCGGTGGGCCGCATGTGGGTCCTTCCCGTCGGGGCCTTCGGTGGGGCTCCCTATGGTGGCACGAAGCGTGTGACGGGTGTGGGGAGACGCATTTGGACCCTTTCACTGAAGACGTCGGTGGGGCTTCCTATGGTGCCACGAAACGTGTGAGAGGTGCGCCGAATTGGACGGGGAAACGCATGTGACACTCCTCCCATGGGGGCCTTCAGTTGGGCTCCCTTTGGGGGCCACGAGCAATGTGAGGGGTGCGCCGGATTGGGGCGGGAAGACCCAAGTGGACCCTCCCACTGGGGACATCGATGGCGCTCCCTATGATGCCACGAAACGTGTGAAGGGTGCGCCGGCATGGGAGGAGACGCATCTGGACCCTCTCACTGGGGCCTGCGGTGGAGCACCTCATGGGGCCACGAAGCGCGTGAAAGGTGTGCCGAAATTATGCCGAAATATTTGGTTGTGCGGAGGGAAGGGGCAAGGATGGGAGGAAGGAGGAGGGGGAGGAGGAGGAGGAGGAGGAGCAGGAGGAGGAGGAGGAGGAGGAGGAGGAGGAGGAGGGGCGAGGAGGGAAGAGGAGGAGGAGGAGGAGGAGAAGGAGGAGGAGGAAACGGAGGAGGAGGAGGAGGAGGAGGAGGAGAAGGCGGAGGAGGAGCAGGAGGAGGAGGAAACGGAGGAGGAGGAGGAGAAGGTAGAGGAGGAGGTGGAGGAGGAGGAGGAGGAGGAGGAGGAGGAAGGAGGAGGAAAAACGCGTGGCGTTTTTTGTTGTTGTTTTTCCTCTCTCTCTGTCTCTCTCGCTCGCTCTCTCTCTCTATATATTCAAAACGAAGACCCACCACCACAGGATTGTTGGGAATCCCACAGTGAGTGGTTTAGGTCCTCTTCCAATTCCCTCCTTCATTGGGGAAGGGTTAACCCCTCCCCCTCCCCCCCCCCTGGGTCTGGGCAGGGCCTTTCGCGAGGGGTTGGAGCGTCCAATATGGCCTCGACGAGAAAGCCAGCATCATTTATTTACGAAGGTTTCGGCCGCATGATGGCCTCCTGGGGGGACCCTAAGTAAGGAACCCACGTCCTTTGATCGATCTCCTCCAAGATGCCCCCCCCCCCAAGATGGCCCCCCGCGGCTCCCAAGGGTGCCCCCAGATGGCCCCAAGAGGTGCCCAGGAGGCCTCAAGAGGCTCCCAAGAAACTCCCATGATTCCCCCAAAAGGCTCCCAAGAGACCCCAAGGTGCCCGAAGAGGCCCCTCAAGGGCACCCAAGACGCCCCACGAAGCCAGGGCGAGACGGCCAAACAAGAGACACCGGGAGACATCCAAGAGGCCTCTGGTCTTTCTGCTCGCCCTCCTCCTCCTCCTCCTCTTTCTCCTCCTCCTCCTCCCCCTCCTCCTCCTCTTCCTCATGCGCCTGTTCCTCCTCCTTCCTCGTCCCTCCTCCCCCTCCCCCTCCCCCTTTTCATCATCCTGCTCCTCCTGTTCTTCCTCCGATTCCTCCTCAGTCCTCTCCCTCTTGGGATACGATGTCTTACCCAGCGCTTGATTCCACTGCGTACTCCTCCACATCCCTGATCAGATCAACTCGTCGGGGCCTCGATTCTGCATGGGCGGGTGGGGTTACGCGAAGCGTATAAAGCTCAAGCAGCTACGGGGATGAAATGCAATTCATGTTCAAACTCGCCTTGGCACCGCGCACACCCGCTCTAAACATTCCAGCGATCGCGCGGACGGATGGCGGCTCTCTTTTACAACGGAGCTCTCGCCCAAACGGTCTTTAAAAGGTTGCTCACCAGGCTCACGGATGGAGGGCAGCTCATTTTTGATGAGGGGGGCACGCTTCCGTATCAATATCTTTCCTTGCAAATCTGGGCTTTGAAACAAGGGTAGAATTATAAACTCAACCCCATTAGGGGACATGGTAAGACCCTTCCCCAGCTCCGCTGCCCAGGAAAGGCGTTTTTAGATATTGCCAAAATCGACCCTTCCCCACGCCGCGTTGGCTGGGGGGGGGTTCAAGACACATCGAATGGTTTGAAATAGGAAAGGGTTTCCCCGAGAGCTGGCGGAGGCCGCCGAAGGGAGGCTTCAAGAAATATCGCAGGCGGTTTGACGGCGAAAGAGCTTTCCCCATAGCAGAGCCCGGCGAGGTGGGGTAGTAGGAGTACAAAACAAGAATAGTAGTCGCAGTAGTAGTAGTAGTAGTAGTAGTAGTAGTAGTAGTAGTAGTAGTAGTAGTAGCAGTCGTAGTAGTGGTAGTAGGAGAAGTCGTAGTAGTAGTAGTAGTAGTAGTAGTAGTAGTAGTAGTAGTAGTAGTAGTGGTAGTAGTAGTAGTAGTAGCAGCAGCAGCAGCAATAGTAGTAGTAGTAGTAGTAGTAATAATAGTAGTAGTAGTAATACTAATAGTAGTTATCGTAGTCGTAGTCGTCGTCGTAGTCGTAGTCGTAGTGCTACTAGTAGTAGTAGTAGTAGTAGTAGTAGTAGTAGTAGTAGTAGTAGTACACATTAATAGCAGTCGTCGTCGTCGTCGTTGTCAACGTCGTAGTAGTATCAGTAGTAGTAGTAGTAGTAGTAGTAGTAGTAGTAGTAGTAGTAGTAGTAGTATTACTAGTGGTAGTAGTAGTAGTAGTAGTAGTAGTAGTAGTCGTCGTAGTATTAGTACTAATTGTTGCGGTTGTTGTTGTTGTTGTTAGTCGTAGTAGTAGTAGTAGTAGTAGTAGTAGTAGTAGTAGTAGTAGTAGTAGTAGTAGTGGTAGTACTAGTAGTAGTAGTAGTCGTAGTAGTAGTAGTAGTAATAGTAGTAGCAGTAGTAGTAGCAGTAGTAGTAGTAATAGTAGTACTACTACTAGTAGTAATCGTCGTAGTAGTACTAGTAGTGAAAGTATAGGTAGTAATGGTAATCGACGGAGTCGGAGTAGGAGTCGCAGTACTATCACTCCTACTTGAAGTACTGGTAGTGGTAGAAGTCGTCGTAGTAGGAGTAATGGTAGCAGTCGCAGCAGCAGCCGTGATAGTAGTAGTAGTAGTAGTAGTAGTAGTAATAGTAGTAGTAGTAGTAGTAGAAGTAGTAGTAGTAGAACTAATAATAGAACTAGTCGCAGCAGCCGTAGTAGTAGTAGTAGTAGTAGTAGTAGTAGTAGTAGTAGTAGTAGTGGTAGTAGTAGTAGTAGTAGTCGTCGTCGTAATATTAATACTAATTGTTGCGGTTGTTGTTGTTGTTGTTAGTCGTAGTAGTAGGCGTAGTAGTAGTAATAGTCGTAGTAGTGGTAGTAGTGGTAGTAGTATTAGTAGTAGTCGTAGTCGTAACAATAGTAGTAGTAGTAGTAGTAGTAGTAGTAGTAGTAGTAGCAGTAGTAGTAGTAATAGTAGTAGTAGTAGTAGTAGTAGTAGTAGTAGTAGTAGTGGTAGTAGTGG